GGTAACTTTTTAGCTAGTTCTTCGCCATCTTCGCGTCTGCAAAAAAAATGTTATTCATGTACATAATCCTTTATTTTATCTAGTCGTGCTCTTGGTGGTAAGTGACACGCCTGTCCATAGCAGCTGTCACTATCTACTGACCCAAGAGATAGGGTATTCCGGAGAGACTACGGGCTCGTCGGCAAGACCAGGGTACAGGGTCTGCCCCGGTGGAGTGTGGCCGGGGCAGACAAACATGTGCACACAGAGCTAGCAGAGGATGAGCTAGATATCCTCCGGTCCCTCCAGCCGCTTAGGTTATTGGGAACTGGAGAGGCGCCGCCGTTTTTCGGTGTCGGGAAGTGAGCGTGCCTCACAGCTCCGCCACCAATGAGGTGATTTGGTAGTGGACTAAAGTCGACGGCTTAGCGGTGGCAACCGCTAGTTGTACAATGTGCAACGGGAAGGGAGCATGCCTACAGCTCCGGTACCTATTTGAAAAATATGGAGAGTAGTGTACGTGCACCCGGGGCGGCTTACCCGAGGCACTAGCCTCTCAAAGAACCGGATGAAGTCAAGCGACAGAGGTGTGTGAGAACCCTGTACACCGGCTATCTGGGGTCAGAACCTGAGCTTATAAGGTTCCTGTGCGCGCGCAGGTTATAGTGTCCTTCTCGTGTGCCCTAAGGGTAGTTAGGGAGGTACAGATCCGGCACCTATCTGGCAATACGGAGGGTATTGTACGTGCACCTAGGGCGGCCCACCCGAGACACCAGCCTCTTGAGAACTGGATGAAGTCAGTGACAACGGTCTGTGACAATCCTGTACACTGGCTAATATGGGGTCAGAACCTGAACTTATAAAGATCACGGGTGATAGTGCTTTTCACGGATAACCAAGAGGTTGATAGAGAGACACTATAATCAAAACTTATGTAGAAAAGATGCAGTGACACTGAGAGCTTTAAATCGCAAAGATCTGAGGGGCACTGCCACCGCGCCCGTCACAGTCGACAAGTCCCACATGCCTTTAGTTTGACCAGTACCCTTACCCCTTAACACCGGAACGCAATAATGGTCACATTACTGCTTGGCGGCAGAAATATGTAAGGTGGTAGTACTTTCTCTCTCACACTCTTTCACAAGGAACTCTACTGCTAATAAATCCAGCAATCTGATTTACAATTTTAGTAGTGTTCCGTTCTTCTTGCAACTCCATGATGAAAACAACAGCGCTGTGTTAACTACTATTACGCATTTCCCTACCCAATTTTGAGCGACTCTGCTCCATTGCTAGTTCTTCTGGATCCTGTCTACCGAGGAGACCAGTTCATAAGACTAACTGGCTGGCGGTCTGATGACACTTAACATTCCCAAAATTGCATTCAAATTATCTTTCGTAGGTAAGTGAATCACTTGAAATAGTCAAATTCATTAATCGTTCTTTTCCTGGTCTCTTCAACTGTTTGCAAAAAGATTTTGGTTCAAGAGAGTTTTAAACTGGTTAATTGCTACTATCACAGCTAAGGTTCCTACTGCATTTATTTTATTTTGTTTTATATCAAGGTACATCAACAGTAGTACATATGTTCTTAGATAACAGTGCAACTTTACATTAGTATTGTATTTATATGTCTACCTATTACAGACGTACACACCATTTAATGTAATAAACAAAGCAAAGAACTTATGAAATGACTTGGGAAACGATTCGAGAATGTTAGTTTTGAAAACATTACGAGAAGAATGCAAAATGTCTATATCTATGCGAAGTTAATTTGGTTGTAAGTAGGGATAATCTAGGCAGTGGACTGTTCAGAGATAGGTTAGTCCAGCATCGTGGTACATTAAATATTTTAGCTATATTTTGCATTAAGGTATTGATGTATACCTGTGCAAGACCGACAGATCCAAGGCGTACAGCAGCGCCATCTGTAGTGCAAGTGATATCTCGTCCAGAGCTCCTGTCGGCCCATGTGTCGGAGACGTTGTTTGCTGAAACATTGAAGCTACATTTCCTTAGCCGTTTATGGAAAACTTCCATCATCACAGTCCGCTGCGCGTTCCCGATGCGTACTACTAAACGTGGCAAAGAAACTTATTAATAGTATGAATCACAAGCAGATGTCCAAAATGTAAACAAAATTAACAATAAATAAAAACTTTAACAACAACACAAGAAAACATTTTAGTACGAAAAAGGAAGCACGAGTGACATCTGTGACACGACAAAACGGCGACGCAGAAAATGTTTTGATCCCGACTGTGTCATAAAATTATTTACGGCCTCAAACGTAGTCTTTTATTATAATTACTGTATTAACGAAATTAAGTAAGTTTGTGATGTAATGTAACTTATGTAATTAAATAGGACAGCAAAATTGTGATGACAATGTAATATTGACATCCTAGTCCGTGGCCGAACGGTTACCATGCCGGACTGCCACGCAAAGGTCCCAGGTTCGATTCCCGGGCCAGGAGAAATATTTGTATGGCCTACATTTATTTCTCTCGTGAGTTTGGGTGTAATTTGTGGTTGTCTATGTGTGTGTCCATGGCACCCGCGACACAGGGTTTCCCTAGTGCGGGGCTATGTTGATTGTGAGCGTTATTATTATTATAAGTTATCACATCCTTCATCTTTAGAGAAAGAAATTTCTACTAAATATTCAGCAACCATTGGACTTTGAACCTACGACCTTTCCAATTGAAAAGTAATCATTGTCCTATCAAACAAATATTTTATTTTTTTAATCTATTAACACAACGGAATTCAGTTATAATATGTTATCAATGCGTATTTCAATTTGTTAGATTGTTCTTTGATAAACAATATTTTAAGCCTTGTTTTGGCATCGAATTAGTTTTTATGTAACGTAAAAAAATTAATTGCAATTTGACAAACATTGTAATTGGCTATGTAGATTATTCAGAATTGTAAACCAAATTTAAAAGCTGTAAAGTTTGCAAATATATAAATTTTGAAATAATTCACATACCTCAGCTAGAAGTCTGAGTAACATGTCTCTGCCTAAGCCACGTTGCGCGGCCGCTGCAAACACTACACCCGCCAGTAGTTTTCTATGGAAAGAAACTTTATATTATGATTCAAATTTATTAAAAAATTAAATTAAACTAGCTAGAAGACATTGGTTCCAATCCAGTCGGATGGAAGGAAGTTTTTCTTAGTGTTCCATCTTTGTATTAATAATAATAACAAAGTAGTGGAGCAATTTCACAAAAAATTATTGAATAACATGGTGATGAAACAATTTGTCATTCAATAAAATTAAAAAAATAATAAAATTACAAAATTAAAAAAATCAAATATGTTTATTATCAGATCATTACCTTGATATAAATTATATGATTAATATTTACTAATGAATGAAAAACTATTTAAAAAATTTTAATGAATATAACAAGTAAAGTGTTACACGCACGTCGTATTAACGATATCTTCGTAACGATATATCGATATCGTAATAACGAATGAATAAATGAATTGAATTGAATTGAATTAGAAAGTTACAACATACACACCTCGAGTTATCAATGGTAGCGACTAGCCGCAAATGGTGCCGGTGCGGCGGCAGCGCACGGTTGTTCTGCAGCAGCTGTAATTCCCCTTCCAGCGTGTACCGCTGCAAGGAGTCCAGCACATTGCCCAGCAACCCGTCCGAAATTAGCTGCTCCACGTACCGCGTCACGTAGTTCACTATTTCCTCGCGCGCGTTTATTGACCTAGTATTAAGGTATTTACTAGCAGTAGAGCTTCTTGTGAAAGAGTTCGTCCAGGGATGTATTGCTACCTTACCTATTTCTGCCGCTAGCAGTAATGTAAGCATTACTGCGTTCCGGTTTAGAAGGGTAAGCGTGCTGGTGAAATTACAGGCACATGGAACTCAACTTATGTCTCAGGGTGAAGGGAGCAGTGGCAGTGCCCATAAGATCTATGCGATTTAAAGCTCTGAGTGGCACTATGGACAGGCGTGTCGCTTACCACCAGGCGCACGACTTCTTCGTCCCACCACTTGCTATTATTAAAAAAAAGGAATTCAACTAACTATAACTAAAAATTATGAAAATCATACAGTCATTTTCAGATCCGGAAATCGAGAATGTTCAATGGTAGCGTATTTAGTGGGATGAGTAAGGCTTGTATGAAAAGCTTAATTAATGTAAGTGAAGCAAAAACGTAAACATTTGATCCAAATAATTAATAGAAAAAAATTTTCCTCTTTACTTACACCATTATACACACAAACAGTAAGTGAATAACTTTATATTTCACCTTAGAGTAATCCTCAATACTAGTACTGACTGTTAAGATACCCAAGTCCTTCACAATGTTGTGGAATTACAAAAAACTAATGTCACTGACTTCCAATAAGAAAAAAAATTAACATGAATAAGTCATGGAGCAAATATAATATATAGAATAAGTGTTATCTTTAAACAATAACAAAAAACTGTTTAATAAATGTGGCCCGAAAATTTCCTCTGCTTTAGTTTAATAATTCAAATTATTGTCTTCATCAGCTCTCACAATCCATGAGCCAAAAAATTATAAAAATGAAATGTTTCTAAATAAAAACAGATACAAATGCATAGGATTCAAGTGAGCCAATCAATTAACTCCACCTCCAAAATTGTGGATCTATTTTCGTTCTCGCTTGACAGTCCGTCCGAAACAATTACTGTCAAATTTGGTCGATTGTTTCGGACGGATCTCGGACAGAGAATGGGAGTAGACCCCCTGACGCGACTCGGGTTTTGCTTACCAACAAACCCCCTGGGTGCTCATAACCAGCTCCTTAAGCGCCTGCACGAGCGCGCGTCGTCCGTCGTAGTACAACAGCACAGCTACGAGCCCGCGCGGCAGCCCCGGGTGCCGCGGCAGCTGGCGCTGAGCAGTATGCAGCAGCTCTAATGCTAGATACTCGTTTACATTGTACATGTCTGTAACAATACATTAATACTTTATTCAACACAAGAACAAATATGTAACAAAAACAAAAAACAGGTCTTAGTGCTATAGAAAGCTAAAGATAGGCCTCCCACAAAGATTGCCAGACTAGCCGGTCGGACGTGACGTGCATCCGTCGTTACATACATATGAAGAAATATTGGTAGAAAATATTTTATGACACTGATATCATTGAGCAAATATATCAGTGCCGTAATAGTTCAAAACAATTTTTTGTTTTGACAATTTTTCGCCATAGTTTCTATTTTCAATTGACTCTCTTCCATTTCCTAATTCGAATGAGCGTCTTTTTTGCTGCGCTTGTGCAATAGTGCATTGTTGAAGTTTTTGTAATAGTTTTTAGGTGTTGATATTGTCTGTTATTGTTATTAGTTTTTGTTAAGTTTCCAATCTTGTTGTTATGTTTGTATTATTACAAACTGTTTTGAGTATCAAAGTTTGGTCATAGAGTTCAGCACTTGTTTTGTATCCCTAACCTGTCACTTTGACAGTGACATACCATGACATATGTTTACAAAAAATTCTTGAATTCTAGGTTAGAGTATAGCAGACTATAGTTACCTGATATTATAATAGCCTCATCCACCAGTTCTTTAGAGAGCAATGTTCTCCCCACACTGGGCAGGTTCACTCCCTCACTGATGCCTCTTTTGATCTCCTCCCTGCTGGCGAGGTTTTTAGCCTGCAAGCAATAATATAGTTGAATATTGCGACTGTTGAGAACATTGATAATTAAATACGCAAGGACAATGATGTACACATTACAATAACAATTACAAGTAGAGGACAGAAAAAACACCTTAATAAGAAATGTCTAATCTCAATAACTTCTTCTACTTAGTGTACCGCTTGTCTATGAAGGTTGGCAACCATCATAGCTTTTCTCATTTTTGAAATTGCCGCACAAAAGAGGAAATGTGTGCAAAGGTGGAACCAGTCTCTCAGATTCTTCAACCATGCATTATTAATTGAAGAATCCGGTATTTATTACCCCTCATTATGTGGCCAAAAAACTATAGCTTCCTTTCCTTTATAGTTCTAAGCATTCCCAACTTTTTTTCCATTCAACAAAGAACCTTAATATTGGTGACCTTTTGTACCAACAATGTGCCAAGCATATGTCAGTACAGCCACAACACAAAGGATTCCAGTTTTGAGCATAATGCTGGGGTCAAGTACCAACACTATACACAGATATAACACTTATATCTTATTTTTAATACACTAATGAACACAACCACAAGCAAAATAAAAAGAGGGACAGTGTCTCAATGTTTTTTTTTATGCACACATTCATAGCCCTGCACTAGGGAAATTCTGTATTGTGGGTGCCATGGACACACACATAGACAACCACAAATTACACCCAAACTCACGAGAGAAATAAATGTAGGCCATACAAACATTTCTCCCGGCCCGGGAACCGAACCTGGGACCTCTGCGTGGCAGTCCGGCATGGTAACCGTTCGGCCACGGAGGCAGTTATATATACGAGCCTTTGTACCTAATTATAATTTCTCATAGTAAAGAAATCAAGAGTACAAGAGCAACGGAATCCACGTTGGGGCCCTACACAGATCACCCAGACCTCACGAGATAAATAAATGTAAGCCGTACACAATTTCTCCCGACCTGGGAATTGTGCCCAGGACCTCTGTGTGGCCGTCCAGTAATTTTGCTGACTTGAGATGATAATGCTCACATGGCTGTTTGAGAAGCAACCCCAAGATGCAGAATCTTTTAAATTTGGGATTTTTTTTATTATAACATATCAACGCTTAAAAGGCAAAATGGGATAAGCAACATGTTTGGTCATATTGCGTTATACATATATCACCGTTATACTGGGAAAACTCAATTATTTCACAAAATATCAACTTTGAAATAAATGCAATTGAATTTTCAACAAAGACTATTTCTTATGCATACCACGGTCATCCCACGTTAATATTTAACAGATGATTCCACATTTCATGTTTCACCAACATTTGAAGATGTTTGCATATTATATATGCAATTTTGTCGTTATCCAATATTAAGTCATTTTCTGTGAATTGGTTTTGGCAGTGCAATAACGATATATACAAAACAATAAAGTGAAATGGCAAAAAAAACAAGAGATACTCACAGGATTCTTCAATAAAGCCAGAAACGTCTGTTTGTGTCGCCGCAGGACTGACTCAAACGTATGAACTGCATACGGCGCTCCACCACTCTCGTGGGCCAGATAGCCCTCCACCACCGCCACCAGCTCCTTGTATGGTGTCCATAGGTCATCTGGTGTAGGACCTGAAAAGTATTAAGTTTTAAAATAACAGATCACCATGTTCGAGAACTGCGTGAAATAAACTAAACTTTTGGAGCTAGCTTTATAACCTCAAAGATAGGTACAGGAATACGAACAATAAAAAGTATCTAAGGCGCGTATTTGATTAAATTTAATTCTATTTTGTATAAATGTCACGATAAAATCGAAATATGACCTATGACCACTAAATTAATATCCTCTGTGATTGTTAAATTACAGTTTAATGTAATGCCCAAAAAATAATTAGGTTATGTTAAAATATTCACCTTCGTTCATGTCCATGGTTAGCGCTTATGGTTCAAGCGCACTTGGATGCACAAACTCGCTCACATTGGCTTAGAAATAAATGAACATAAAATAGCGATCCTATAAAAATATTTTGAAATTATGTGACAGTTTGACTCAGTTTGAAAACGAGAGACGCGCGCGATACTTCGTTTTGACAGTAGCAACTAACCACAAACTAATAAGAGATACTACTCAACCATAAACATTTTGAGTGCTGCACTGAAGCTATTTAGTTTAGTTTTTTCCAGTCTAGGGACGTATTCCAGAACTCTACTCAATACTCAAGACCTTGCCATTAGAGTCGTATTTCCAGTGCTTGAAATCATCCTCAAGTCCTGACTTGGGCATTGAGTAGAGTTCTGGAATACGACCCTAAGAAACTCAAAACGTAATAATATTAAACTAAGGTTCGTATTCTAGAACTCTATTCAATGCTCAAGTCAGGATTGCACTGGCAACACAAGCACTGGAAATACGACCCTAATGGCAGGGACTTGAGTATGATTTCGAGTGCTTTGAATCATACTCAAGTCCTGACTTAAGCATTGAGTAGAGTTCTAGAATACGACCCTTAAATTAATTTATGAAGAAAGTAACTAGAAAGTTACCTTTCTAATCTAGTAGGCAGCGTTGCCAATGCCAATTGTTCAAAATCCCCAAAAATCACGATTAAAGCAAAGTTCGTATTCCCCACATCTCGAGTTTTCATTATTTATTACAAATACATCGCTTAAAAATATAATTAACAATTAAGAAACTCAAAATGTAACCATCTATGACGTTTGCTGTGAATGTAAACACAATGTAAAATGTAAAGCAAATTATAAAATTAAATGACCTTACATCGTTTATTTATTTTAATGAGATTTAACATGGTCACATCAACAAATGGTCCTTAAAAAAAATTCTTGGCCTTACAAAATTAAGTGACCTATTGATTCGTTGCGCATTTGGTGACGCTATGTTAATGTTACAAATAATCAATGAGTAAATTAAGTTTCGACCTATTTTTAATATTTAAAGTTGACGAGTGGTAAGTTGTGATGTGGAAGTACCAACTGCTTGGCTTTGTTTATCGTACCGTTTATCGTACCGTGGGCGTTGTTTATCGTAGTTCATACCGGGGACCGGCCAAAGCGGGAGAAAGGATCGCGAACTCAACACGCACCGACTGGTAATTTTACTACTGGTAAGCCATACAAACATTTCTCCCGGCCCGGGAATCGAACCTGGGACCTCTGCGTAGCAGTCTGGCATGGTAACCATTCGGCCACGGAGGCAGTGTTTCTAACAATTACGATCAAACTAGCGATGCATCAGCAATCGATAGATTAAACAAAATTATGAAATGTTAGAATCCCCACATAACGCCAATCCCCACAAAATCCCCAATTTAGTTTAAATTCTCCGCACTTTGGGGAATTCACCACGAATTGACAACGCTGCTAGTGGGATTAGTAGTTTAGTTTGTGCTACAATAGTGCTCATTACTTGCCTAGTAATAATAGCCTACTATTAATCATACTTTGATTACAGTAAACTATACAAATTTGCAAACATAAAAAACAGTTTCAACATTCAAGCCATACATTTGCATGTCGATATTGTCTTATCTATGATTATGGTACGTACAACACTAAATCCGCCATTTGTGGTGGACATTTTTGGTTTAGGTACATTGACTTACTTTAGGTAGGTTCGTTTAGGCTGCCTTTGTAGCTAGGTAGCGTGCGAGGAAAAAATCCACCAATAGGATTACTTCCTATCCTAGCCTCGCTTAGCGCAGCTTCGGTGGAAAATGATTAGCGGAGCTAAGTATTTGTACATACAAAATAGCGACAAATGTATGCGAGAGATGTGTGACATTTCTGTGTGCGAGGGATACGGGCGAGGAATGTGTGCAAATCGGTGTAGAAAACTAGAGCTACTGAAAGTATGACACTAACTGACACTGACATATCGCCACCGCTCACCCCACCACACCACCGTACTCCGCCCGCGCATAGCTAAAAAGAATTCGCACGCATCCTTGCACAGCTTTGGTGGAAAATATCACACCGTTTCACAGCGTCGCTACACATCCTCGCACCGCCTCGCTACCCCGCACATCTCTGGTGGAAAGGCAGCCTTATTCCGTAGATAGGGCAGCTCCTATCTTTATTTTGTTTATCCTCTAAGCACCTCACACCTCACCTCATGTCACCGCCTCACACTCATGTCACAGTGCTTCGAATTCAACGAATGCAACAATGATAGTAATGGGTTCTACACTGCCCGCTTTTTATCTAATTGTAAAATCATGTGATCATACTACCATAGTACTATAAAATAAGCATTTATTTATACTATATCATAACACTTAAGTTATCCAATTGATTGATACCATCAAGTTATGAAAACGTGCTTAATATTCTGTCCGTGCAAACATTCTTACCACTACCTTACCTCATTTGAAGTAGGACATTGTACCGCCTTATTTTATAAATGAGGTACTCCCTCAAACTCATTTTAATTTCATGTCCTACCCAACACTAGCGCTGCGCACATTCTATGCCTTGGCAGAAACTACAGACATATAATTAATAAATAATTATATATATGTCTGTAGCAGAAACACATTCATTTTTTCATAGTGTGATTCCAACACAAATCATAATACCATATCACCATGTCACCACCTCTAAGGCGAACTCTTACTCGCCCAAAATAGGCAAAGTACTACTGTGTAAATCTTAGATGATGGAAAAGAAATAAAAGACTAACCTAACCTATCCTAACTACAGAATCAATGTGCACATAACCAAAATTTGAAAGTTACAAAATTACAATTTCTTTAATGTTGATGGTACAAATCTATCGATAAGTCATTATCGACATGCAAATGTATGGCTTGAATGTTGAAACTGTTTTTTTTTTTGTTTCTTTAGTTTACTGTAACCGAAGTATCCCTAAACAAACACAAGTCTAATAATTTAATCTCGAGTGGTATATTATTATAAATGTCAACACACATTTTTAAACGTTTTTCAAAAAATATTTTCAAGATTACAACTGGTAACTTATTGAGTAAGACACCAAACTGCTGTGCAGTTTGTTGGCGACATGCGCATTCTTACTTAATTATACCTACTTTACTGGTATAGGTTATAACATTACATAGTATTAATCGTACTTATAAATAAAATATAAAAATTACTTCAAGAGGTACGCCTTTAACCTACATTTTAGTACGTATGTACACATCGTCTTTTAACTAACTGTCAAGTACAAGTCTATTAAGGTTTCTGTGGATTCTAGTATTCACGTTAATGGCTTTCTTAAACAAATCAATCTATCAAGCAATTTGATTTGTGATAAGCCAAATGAACTCTATACACGTTGGCGCTCGCCTTCACTCAGTCAGCTAGGCGAGTGACACCGAACGATGGGAAGGCAAGGCAAATAGGCTGTCTATACGTTGGTATTGGCCTTTACCCAGCAACGTTGGACTAACATGTCATTGTATTACAGGCTTTAAAAAATAGTAATTTTAAATAGTTGGAGTTGCCATTGGGAAAAATCAGAAACGAGTGGATAAATTTGTTTTCAGGAACTGAGAATAACTATCGAGTTCTTAGGTTTTCGCGATTGTTACACATAGGAAATGAAACTATTTTTCCGGATTTAAATCGCGTATATTCCGTGACCATGGGACCTGTAAAGGGCCCGAAACGTCGGTTTGTTTGAAAAAACAAATATACGCGATTTAAATCCGGAAAAATAGTTTCATTTCCTATGAGAATAACTAGTACCTAAATGAGTCTTGTTTAATCTAAATAGAATATAAAATTATTTGCCAAAAAACCTAATGATGGAATAGCATTGTCATGTAATCTAGTTACATTCAAAGTTCTGTTAAAATTTGACTCTTTAAAATGAAGCGAACAAATGATGATGGTCTTTGATCCAACGTTTATATTCCGCAGTCCTATGATTTCCAACCATTCTTTCTTCCTTTTTTCATTTGTAGGCAAACTTGAAATAATAATAATAAAACAATAAAAACCTTGTAGTGAATTGGTTTAATAACAGAATATCGATAATATGTATGCTTACAAGATCAAGACTATCTGAAAATAATCGTTAACAACAATCATCAAAATATACAAACAAACAGGCAATCTGAAGTAACAAAAGCAAAATTTAGCAAGATTTATGAATAAACTACTTAAATAAGTCTATTTACATGAGATATTTGGGCTATTGTGTGATTTATAGACTAAAAAATAACACATGCCTGTGCAATGTAACATTCGATTGATTTGCACTTTTCTAAAGCCACATTCCTTAATGTTGTAGCGTCGCATTTTTATTAATACCTAATTATTCTCACTGTCAATATTTTTGTCCAATTTAATTATAATACATGCGAATAATTCAATAGTACATTTGGAAAATCATTTGTTTTGACATTTGATGTACTTTCCCTTGACAACGGTATCATGTACCTCATGTACTGCGAAATGGACACGGTTGGCATTTAAGATGACGTTACGTATTTTCGATTCCCGTGTTTGACACAGACCAATGTACTGCTACCTCTTTTAGCTTAAGACGGCACGTAATAGTTAAACAAAGACAATAACATGTTTATGTTTTCGACGTCGAAATGTATCATATACATATAACGTCTGATTTATACATATATGTCAACATGTCAACGTAACATGTCCTTTAGTTTCCATAGTCTAAGGTGTAAATACTGAGTTGTCTGACGACCGTAGTAAGTTTGATTGTACGTACATACATACTCATGACAATTTTATTATTTAATTATTCGAATATATAATCGTAAAATATTAAAGAATATTTCAGGCTACCACACTCGAATATTAAGTAACACTTCATGATGATATTCTATAAATATTTGAAAATAATTTGTCACCAAAATTTTGTACAAAAAACTTACCTGAAAATTACCCATCGACTGAAGCAAGTAAGTGTAAAGGGTGAGGCCAGACGAGCATAATTTTGTGGGTTGCGTTATTTGAGTTGCGCAGTTTGCGATCGACCAAAATTTGGTTAGAGCGCCACACGAACACATGTTTACGACATCCATTAAAAATAGTATGCATTTATGCGCAAACTACGCAACTCAAACTACGCTACTCACAACTTACAAAATTACGCTCGTCTGGCCTCACACTAACGCTATAGAATCTCTTTGTAGTCGTGTGTCGAAACGTTCGGTTTCAAAAGTGTCCGTCCGCCCCGCCATTAATGGAATGCGCGAGCTGGGCAGAGTTGCCAATTTGAGGGGAAATCCCCAAACTGCGAGGATTTTGTGGAGATTGGAATAATGTAGGATTATCACATTTTACCATTTTTATTAATCTACCCATAGCTGATACGATAGTTTGATGGCTGTTGATAAAAAAACATCATGTAACGATATATTAATATCGTTAATCGTAATATATATATTTAGCAGCAGAAGAGCCCTTGTGAAAGAGTTCGTCTAGGGTAGTACTGCCTACCTATTTCTGTCGCCAAGCAGCAATGTCAACATTACTGTGTTCCGATTTTGAAGCGTAAGGGTGCTGGTGAAATTACAGTCACATGGGACTTGTCAACTTATGTTTCAGGGTGACGGACGCATTGGCAGGCCCCTCAGATCTTTGCTATTTAAAACTGAGTGGCACTGCAACTGTTATGGACAGGCGTTTAGCTAACCATCAGGCGCACGACTTGTTCGTCCCATCACTAGATATTATAAAAAATAAGTAAAGAAATTTTTATATATTTTTTCCATCATCATTCCTAATCATTCCCATATGTATAATTAAATAATTGCTTATTGTATTGCCATTTGTGAAGATGTGGCAAAAAACAATGACCGAATAAAAATAGATTAATAAATATGACAAGTCTTTTTGTTAAAACTTTGTTTTTTTTCTCTCGAGATGCTTATGCTGTAGGGATGACTGAAGCAATTTCAGCGAATGAAACGACCCTGTGTTAATGCGCCATAACGCCACTGCATAGCACAGTACAGAACAGTGTATGTCACTGAAACACCCGTGTTAAACACTACTATTCTTCAGTGACAGCATGTTGTATTAAAACTATCTAGACTAGATAATATCTTATTTAAGTCAAATGCTTTCGATTTAAATCAGAGGATCCCAGACTTTTTTCTCATAGATCACTTTCAAAATTTTGCTAATTCGCGTGGATCCCCTGCAGCTATATTTCTACCATATTTCGTATCCATATTATTTTTTGTCACGCTAAAATAGACCCCCCATCGAGTCTTCCGTGGACCCCTGGGGGTCCACCTGAACCACTTTGGGAACTAAGGATTTAGAATAACAATGATATTAGACATAAAAACCTGGATGTTAGTCGGGCGGCAAAATAATAATTGTTCAAATATAATTCTTTTATTTACAATTGAAGCCTTTTCAAAGACAAACTTATTCTGCATAACAATCAAATACAACATTTATAAATAGTGATGAAGATTGCACATTGCATTAAAGTTTATACAAAAATTTACATAGATTGATCAATAGTAACCAGATACTTAGTACATTTGTTGCGATAAAGTGTATTATTGTAGAACACAACGTTGTTGAAAATTTCCCCCACATTTGTCACCTGCACGGGCAGACAGTTCAACACGTCCACCGTTTCATCGTCCATCATCTTATCACACTCGGCCCCAATCATATCCAAATACCTCAAAGAATCTTTGTTCACTAAATTGTTCAAAATAATATCGCCAGTGGACGTGAATCCAGTCTTGTGAAAACATTTTGTCGAAAGAATGCAAAGCACACTAACATTAAAATGAGTCAAAGTGTTAAAATTTCGCACAATCAAAGATTCGCCATGTAACAACTTATTCAGCTTTTTTAAAAATGTCCTGAAACATTTTTTCTCGTGAACATGATAAAGTTCTTCATAATTGAACTCGGGAAATGTAAGAACTTTATCACCTTCATTGTCGGCGTCAATCAGATTTTTAGTTTTTAATTTAGGATTTTTAGGAAATATTATGTCCTTGAACTCCTCTTCAGCCAGAATCTGTTGGTAGAGTTTGAATATTGGCGCGAATATGAATTTTGAGCTATTTATTTTCAATAATGGCCGCCCACAGGTGAATACGAGGTCCAAAGCAAAAGTATCATCATAGAAAATCCATTTGGTTTTCTCAGTCATGGCCATCATTGGATTTGATAGGACTTCAGTTTGTAGGAATGTGCTTAGGCTCTTGCATTTTTCTTTGAGCCCCATCTTTGTATACAGTTCTCTCTCTGTGTAAGAGCCGAGGTGGTATCGCGGATTCGTATTAATTTTGTTCTCCTCGTGCAGAATCCCTTTCAGAATCTCTTGTTCAATATCCAAAGGTTTCAAGCCGTATAACCATATGAATTCTGTTGCCACTAAAGCTCTAACTCTCTTCATATCTCTGTGCAAGGCAATGTTGTTTTGCAGCAAGTATGCTTGCAAGTTGTTGTGTATCACTTGACACTGTATTGAGCAGAAGTATGACTGACACTCCTCTACTTGTTTTACAAAGCTATCTGGAATTGCTTCTCTCGGGAATAAGCATAATTTGCCATACAGCTCTGTCCCATATGCGGATTTCAGAACAGGGAGGAAGTCATCAATGCCACTATTTCCTTTATAATGAAGGCAAATAGCGTAAACTTCAGAATTGCCCTGTCGAGAAGTGACAGGTTTATAGATGTTCACCTCCCCAAATAAGTGGTTGATGAGGTAAAGTAGACTCACAGTGGAATGTTCAAAAATTGTGAAGAGTTTAAAGATGAACGTGCCACCTAGAAATACAACATTAAGTGTTATAATGCGTGTCAATATCATTATGGAGATTGAAAATATAATAATTTGTCAAAAGTATAAAAAAGATACCTGGGCTGAGGGCTTGCAGAGCCGTGACAATCTCACAATAATGCAGTGGGGAAGTGACCTCCTCTTGAGCATCAGGTTTCTGTAGGCAGTCAATGGACCCGTCTGCTGTCACCAACATTACCTGAAAACATTATAAATGATAAATAGTTAAACTATTTTTTCAGATTGATATTGAGTCTTTGTAATACGGTATAGTTCTTACAAGCCCTATGGTCAGGGGGTCTACTCTCGATCTCCGTCCGAAACAATTACTGTCAAATAAGTAATATTCGACAAAATTAAAAGACAAGTATCAAGTATGAAGCTTCATTCGCATCACGCGTCTTTTCATTTGGTCAAGTATTGCTTATTTGGCAGTAATTGTTTCGGACGGATGTCCCCGGAAGACCCCAGACCCGGCCTGCGGCGCGTGGTCGCGTTCAGATTACGGGGTGTGCTTATGATCTTCGGTGACACAGCGATTAGTAATATTACGATTAGGCGCTTGATGAGGAGGTTCCAGTCCACTCGATTCCCGATTTGAGTCAATTTATGAAACAAACATTTTTAAGTTGGTTCTAATCAGGGTATTTTGGGTATTGCCCTTAGAGTTATCGTTACTCTGGTACTCATAGTACAGAAAATTCCCTAGTTTGAGACCAGAAATTTGGTGTGATTGTCTGGCATTTTTTTCCTAAATAAAGAATTTAACAAAGAGACGGTCGAATTACAAAAACGCTATAAGTATCTCATTTCTACTACATCGGCAAATATACCTTTTGAACAATTGTGAGATCTTGTACTCGTAATAGAGCCTCCGTAACTACCTACATACGGACACTTCCTCGCCCTCCGCTGCACCTCGGCCCACGGCCTCGGCACTTATGATTTTGTTTTAAAAAATTAACAAAGCTCTTTAAAGGCGGCCTGAAATTCATTTGAATTGGGCTTTGAATTGAAATGGCAAAAAGTAAATTTTAACTGCAAATTATTATTAAGCCCGTAGAAAACCCCACATGCCGATTTTCAGTCGAATTAGAGCAAATTTTTATCAACCGCCAAAAAAGTTAGTATGGCAACCACGTATCCAGATAGACGCTGCAAGTGTACGTACTTCGCGTGCCCAAACTAAGTGAAATTCACTAACTTGACGCTGCTACACGTCAGAACGCGCTCGACCGTTATCGTGGATAAACACCAATCGTAAACGCGAAAAAATGCATAATTGTGCCATTACAAACTGCAAAAGCACCATAACTGTGCGTAAACTTTTAAACAAGGGCTTTTCCTTCGACGGGCAAGTGATTTTGTAATAGGAAGATGCATAATTTATTTTAAAAACAATTATTTTGGTTTTGTATGAATTTCGAGAAAACAAACATGCAACCGAGTGTATGCCTCATGTTTTGTAATACATTGCGGCTTTTACTTGGTGCGATATATTTGTGAACCTTTGTTATTACGCCATGAATATCGAACGAACGTACTTTTGTCTAATGCATTCAGTTTCGTGGTACGGCCACTTATACATTTCTTTGGCCAAATTTAAAATTTAGTAATGTGTAGGTTATACATAGGTAATACAAAAATATATATAATGCAAATTAACAGTGCGCTGTCTTTACAAAAACCTGGACTTGGTCATAGTACGGGTTCGTTGCTTTCGAGGACGTAGCAGAGTTAGAAATCCGAGAAATAATAAACAAATCACAAAAATTTCACACGAGGCCGTCATTAAGTAAACCTCCTTTGGTTAATCGAATAATAACATTTTCATTTGTCTTGCCATTCATCAATTTGATCAATTACCAACAGAAAACCATCTAGTAAAATTAATTTTGGCAGTCGCAAGTTCATATATTGACGTGCGTATTCATTATTTAAGTTAATCGATAAGATCTTCTATTACAAAAAGATGTTATATAATAAGCTCATTTTATTGGAAGGACAATAATTTCAATATTTGAAGTCGATTAAAAATTAAAGTCTTCATTTTTTTTAAGTAATCAACATTGTTTTAAAACAAGTAAAATAAAGGACTTAACTATCTTATTCTAGTATTTTTCTAATATATTATTATTACGACTACTTATAATCAACAAGTACTTGAACAAAAATTATTATATTTAGAATCGATTAATTGAATGGAATACGCGAGTTTACGCGTATTACGTTGAATCAATCGATTTAGAGCGAGCGGAAGGAGGTTTTCATCACTAAATAGCTCTTGTGACGTCATAGTGGGTACAAAAAATGTGGCACGCTTGGTTTTCATACAAATTGCAGTACTTACGGCGTCTATATAGATATATGTCTGTGAGTGCATCCATATTGAAAAATTACTAAAAATAAGTTTGGGTCGTAAATTATTATCAAACACCCATAGAGACCCCCGCATGCCAATTTTCAATCAGAGCAATTTTTTTCTACCACCAACGATCCCTTGTACGGCGGACATATTTGAAAATGGCGAAAACTCAATTTCGAGTACAAATTATTATCCGGCAATTCTAGACGCCTCCAGATGCCAATTTTCAGTCGAAACAAAGCAAATCTCTTTCGGCAGTTATTTTCAACGAAAAAAATAAGCGATATGGCAGCCACATAAAAAAATGGCCAAAAATTACTTTTGATCTCAAATTGTGATTAAGGACTCCAAAAAACCCCCGCATGCCAATTTTCAGCCGGATCAAAGCAAGTTTTTCTTCCGCCGCCATTTAGAATTCGCCATCTTGAATTAATTTGGACACAGGCAGTTGACCACTATTACTCTCTATGACATTCCTTCCAGCACCTCCTACCTATCTCTAATAGTTTCCGTTATAGAAGGCCTTGAAATTTGTATGGCGGCCATCTTGTTTATTTGAATTTCGAACATATTTTACTTCCGTCGGAAATTGTCCTCATAAAAGTGTACAAACGTTCCCTCTATATATTATAGTTTTTGTAGGCCGTTGATCACTCTTTTATATTTTCCACATTCAGCTCCTCTCATATTTGATTCTTTGCTTTGGAGCCTATCCGCGTACAACGGTATAAATATCTTTTTTCCACCATATCGGGAAATTTGCGTTCTATTTTTCTAAGTGACTCAGGATTTGTAGCTTTATGTATATAAAATAGATTAGGTAAGTAAATAATTTTATTTGCGCATAAAATCAAATACAGTTAAGAGCTCTCATGCCAAAAAAGTTTTGACGTTGGCCCCGCCCAAATTTGTGAAACAATGCCTGAAGTTCGCGTGACATGAGACAGGAGATGTTAAATTTTGCGCATTAAAAGTACCAAATTCGTTTTAGCGGAATAACTCTAAAACTAAAGGGATTAAAAAAAAATCCGTAGTGACAGTTGTCGATCATGCATAAATATAATTAATTATCTAATTTTTGTCCTAATAACCTTTAGCATTTCGAGGATAAATCGAAAAAATGTGAAAATTAGAGGTCATTTCGTGATTTTTATCTATCGAGGAAACTTTATTGTTTTATGTTTCTGATTAATGTCTATGTTTGAATATATCGTGTAGTTACTCATACAATATTTTATTTTTAACTTTAAAGTGGATATACCCCTCTAAAATCAAATCGAAGATTAGGAATTTTTCCTCTGCTCCCTCTTAAGACAAGAAGAGACTTAGAAGTGAGATATATTATTTGTACACATAGAATATGTAAGTACTTTGAAGTGTTCTTAAAAATACACTGGCTCCCGAAAAAACGCCCAAAATGTTAGTTTGTTTAAAAAAATATATGCAATTTAGATTTCAAAAAATGAATTAATCTCCAATGAGTAGCAATTGTGGACACCTAAGAACTCAATATTGTAAAGAATCCTTTTACTTACTGTATCAGAAATTGAAAAAAAAATTATTGAAACGCATATAGAAATTTTGTTTTACCTTTCCCAATGAAGTAGCTTTCTTAATAGTAGCCTGAGAATTTTCCCACAGCATAAGGTTGCCTGTGTTGTCAGCACCAAAGTCCCAATTTTGCAGGGTGTGGAACATGAAGCGATCATCACTGATCATATTGGATGGGGAATTGCCTTCATAATATGGGTTCAATGTATTAGCTAGCCATGACCACTGAAAGAAATACACATTTAAATCATTGATGGGCAAGTTAAAAATATATGTAGTCAGGTGAGCTAGGATGCACCAGTGATGATTATTTAAAATTAAAATTGCTATATTTGGTAATATTGACAAATCACTGGGCTAGTGTGGTAGGCTATGACCTACACCTATTAATGCACATTTACACCAGGTCAATGGGTATCCATCATTTGCCTGGTGTAAATATAGTGACATCATAATAATTGTTCACAGCCGAAGTTGACTGAAGGAAGTGTTAACACTATGAAAGAGTTGCCAATTTCTAGGGAATTCCCCAAACTGTGGGGATTTTGTGTAGATTGGAATAATGCGGGTTTTTTACATTTTACCATTTATTAATCCACTCATAGCTGATACATCGTTGATTATTATTTATCAATATTATCATTATTAATAATATTGTAACTGATGTTTTTTACCAACAACCATCAAACAGTTGTTTTGATAAAAAAAATCAATTATGATGAACATTTGGTTATATTTTTGTTTGTGACTTCGCACATCACTTGTTTATATAGAAACACCATACAAGTGTGTGTGTTCTCACATTCATCAATCCCCTTTTGCACACATTTGATTCATAGTGATAACACCAAATCCATTGCCAAGTTTATATTAGTCTTTTTTTATACCACTTGCAATAATAAGTGGTTTTTTTTTCTTGTTTTAATGTCCAGTAGCATTATAATTTCTACTATTCCTCAAAGTATTATAATAACATCCTTTGAGCAATTGTAGTGGACGGAATTTATGTTTAGATTCCATGTTCAAATAATTATAATTAAAGTAATGATTTAAAAATTACTATAGGAGAATATGTCATCGTTTGAGTAGTAGATAATAATAACGCACACACTCAAGATAGCCCCGCACTAGGGAAACCCTGTGTCGCGGGTGCCATGGACGCACACATAGACAAGCACAAATTACACCCAAACTCACGAGAGAAATAAATGTAGGCCATACAAATATTTCTCCCGGCCCGGGAATCAAACCTGGGACCTCTGCGTGGCAGTCCGGCATGGTAACCATTCGGCCACGGAGGCAAATAACAATGATTAATAAATAATACATTATTGTTTACTCAAATGTCACCTTCAAAAGCAACAAAATACAATCTAATACTTATTTTTAAAACTGATACTAGAACATACTAATAAATAATATTCTTTCATAGCCACCTGCACATTGATAGTAAAGATAGCATTAATGCTATAATATGATAATTACTCGTAAATAGCTTACTTCAATATCAGGGTGGTTGGACTTCAAATAGTGGTTCAGAGACGTAATAAATGCTCCAGGTGCCTCGCACAGATGTAACGATACCATCTTCCTCTCTTTTACTGCTTCTACTGGCACTATGTTGTATGTGAACGCGCATTCGTAGAATTTCGTCCATGCTTGTGTCAGAAATTCGGGATTCACCATACAACGAATCTTCCAGCCCACTTCGCCTGCCGGGTTTCTGCGCCGAGTGTGACTGCTCCACTCTTCAATACTAAAGTCATTCAATTGGCTCTTATGGTTGTTGAGGCGAGTCTTTAATATGTCCAGCTGCCGTATCTTCCACGGCGGCGTCGAGTACCAAGACTCGATGTTAGGCAATTTCCATTCAGAATTAAAACGAAACTGGAACTTTTTATTAAACAAATCGTTCAACCCATCAAAGTCTTCTTGTCTCCGCTGCTCTTGCCGCGACTGAAGGAAGCCATAATCAGACTTATGATACATTTTAAAAATGGATAAATGTGTGTGCACTAACGACCCGCAGTAATCCTAATATTATATACGAAACTGGATATACACGAGACTAAAGATTTAAAATTTTTCAGTAAAGCTAACAGAACACCATTGCGGTTAATACCCATGTACTGATTTATTTTTACACAAAAATCGTTGGGAAAATCAATATAAAACTTATCAAGTCAAACATCGCAAGCAAATTGCAGTTTGCAAAAGACGGAACGAAACTTTTTTATTATTATTATTGTTGGCTTTGCCTTTGCATTTAGCTTTAGCCAATGAAACGATTGTAACTTTTGAATTATTTTATTTATTTATTAGGCTCACACGTTTACACAAGAGTTGTCCGTAATAATCTAGTCGCAATTAGTGTTGAGAAAATGGAAAAAAAAATCAATTTTCAAAATAATCATATTTTTCATAAACATAAAAAGTTCCGGTTATTTTTCCATAATTTTCCACATACGTTGACACCTGTTAAAAGTTGAAGTTACTGAACGAAAACGACAGAGCCAATAAAAAGGTTTTTTCGATTTTTGTAAAATCATTTTTAGGGCCGTATTCTAGAACTCTACTCAATGCTCAAGTCAGGATTTGAGTATAGTTAAAAGCACTCGAAATCATACTCAAGTACCTGCCATTAGGGTCGTATTTCCAGTGTTTGTGTTTCCATTGCAATCCTGACTTGAGCAAGGAGTAGTATTCTAGAATACGACCCTAAAGGGTCGTATGAACTCTACTCAATGCTCAAATCAGGATCCGAGTATGATTTCAAGCACTGGAAATACGACTCTAATTGCAAGGACTTGAGTATTATTTTCAGTGCTTTAAATCATACTCAAGTCCTGACTTGAGCGTTGAGTAGAGTTCTGGAATACCACCCTAAGTCTCGTTTTTTCTTTATATGGTTTTTAGGTACAAGTTTATTTTATAATTACGCTAAATAAAACTTCAGAAGACTACTTTTAACCGTAGAACATAATATGAGCATTCGATATTATATTATTTATCAAAATTTTTCAATTTTTCGGGGATTTTTCCAAAAATTTACTACTATTTGATTTGTTTTTCGGAAAATTGCCCAACAGTACGTAAGACACTAATATTATGACTACTGTTGGGTATTTTTTCCGGAAAAGGCTCATATTATGTTCAACGCTTAGAAATATCTTTTGAAATTTTATTTAGCGTGAATTATAAAATAAACATGTCTAGCTAAAAGTCACTTAGAGAAAAACAAGATTTAAAATGATTTCACGACAACAACAGCGAAAAAACCTCCAACAACCACACCACCACCAGCTGTCGTTCGCTCCATCATCGTTTCCGTTCATTAACTTCAACTTTTGACAGATGTTAACGTCAGTCGTCAAATATCGAGTATTTTAGGAAAAATATATCCGGAAAAATACGATTTCTTTTTCAACGGTTTTTCAGTTACCCAACGTGTCTACCCGCCGTGGTCATGAAATAAAATAAAAAAGTGAGTTGTCATGTGTCAGACAAGACCACTGAAAAAAGCGCGGGAAACTTCGACCTGAACGACGCGATTTTTTATTATAAATTTTTAAAATTATATATTGTTCGTTAAATAACTTTCTTCAAA